GCTCATAACAACAACAACAACAACAACATCCCATGCAAGCAAGATTCTGCTGAAAATTATCCAAAACCGACTGGAACAGCACATCTACAGAGAACTGCCTGAAGTACAGGCTGGAATTAGAAAAGGCCGTGGCACTAGGGATATTATAGCTACGTTAGATGAATTTGGCTGGAAGCAGAGAGTATCAGAGGAATGTCTATCTGTGTTTCATTGACTAGGCAAAGGCCTTTGACTGTGTGGATCAGAAAAAACTGTGGCTGACTCTGAGAAGAATGGAAATCCCAGAACACTTGATTGTGGTTATGCGAAACCAATACTTGGACCATGAGGCAGTCATCAGAACAGAGCAAGGAAATACTGCATGGTACAAAATTGGAAAGATGTGTGTAAAAAATGTCTTATCTCCAAATCTTTTCAATCTATATGCGGAACAAATTATCCAGCAGGCTGGGCTCTATGAGGAGAATTGTGGCATCAGGACTGGAGGTAGACTTATAAACAATCTGTGTTATGCAGATGACACAACCTTGCTTGCTGAAACTGAGGAGGACTTGAAGTGCTTGCTGCAGAAGGTCAAGGACTGCAGCCTTCAATATGGATTGAAGTTCAACATCAAGAAAACAATGATTCTCATGCACACCCATGTTTATCACGGCTTTGTTCACAATAGCAAGGAGTTGGAAACAACCCAGATGCCCATCAACAAACGAATGGATAGAGAAGCTGTAGTATATTCACATAATGGAATACTAGGCTGCATTGAAAAATAAGGAACTCATACAATATTATTCAAAATGGGTGAGCCTGGAGGACATTATGCTGAGTGAAATATCTCAGTCACAAAACGACAAATATTGCATGGTGCCACTGCTGTAAAATGGGACTTATATCAGGGTTGGGGTAAGTCTGAGAAAAACTGGATACACTGCATATACTGCACTGAAACAGATGAGGGAGAGAATAATTTAAAAGCGATGTATGATAGGGTATTATGGTTATCACAAGAGTCCACAATTAAGGTTGTATAGTGGAATGTACTTGGGGTGGTGGGAGGGGTGTGGGGGGATTGTGTACCAGGGAGGGAGTGTTTCTTTTACTTTTCAAAGACAGGAGCGAACTGGGGTGGTGGGGGAGGGCTTGGCGGGGAGAGAAGTGAAGCAATGAATGAATGGAAATCCAAAATATCTGTGAATGTTCATGAAAATTATTAAAATAAAATAAAAATTATCAAAGCAGAAAAAAAAAAGAAAACAATGATTCTCAACACTGGGCCAACTGGCAGCATCATGATGGATGGTGAAGATATTGAGATTGTTAACAGCTTCCATTTGCTGGCTCTACAACCAAAACTCTTGGTACCAGCAGCCAGGAAATTAAAAGACAAATTGCACTGGAAAAGTCGGCTATCAGAGAACTCTCCAAAGAACTAAAGATCAACAATGTCAGTCTGGAAAATGAAGTACCCCTGATACAGGCCACAGTCTTTGCAAATACTTGCTATGTATCAGAGAGCTGGACAATGACTAGGGATGATAGAAGGAGAGTTGATGCCTTTGAGCTGTGGTGTTGGAGAAGAGTACTGAATATACCCTGGACTGCTAAGAAAACAAACAGGTTCATCCTGGAGAGGTGAAGCCAGGCTGCTCCTTGGAGGCAAGAATTCGAAAGCTTTGTCTGACATAATCTGGACATGTTGCAAGGCAGGATCAGTCCTTGAAGAGGGACATCTTGCTTAGGAGGGTGGAGGGACAGTGCAGGAGAGGAAGACCCTCGATGAGATGGATTGATTCGGTCACTGGGGAGATGGGGGTAGGTGTGTCAGAGACAGTGAGGTTGGCACAGGATAGGGCAGGGTTTAGGGCTGTTGTACATAGGGTCACTACTATGAGTCATAGGCGACTCAACAGTACACAACAACATATTTAGTGCATTATAAAGTATAATATTCCAATTTTCCTAATGAAAAACAACATAATAAAATTTTAAATTGCTTTTTAAGAGGTAACTTTTGGTGTGAGTGAATTTATGTTTATGGAGGTAAAATATGGGTAAAAGGACAGTGTAATGAGTGTCACTGAATCATAGATGTAAAAATGATTGAACTAGTCCATACTGTATATAGTTTCACTAAACACACAAAAAAGTAAGTGCTGATTTCGCAATAGCACTGTTTCAGAACCAAGAAATTCTTGCTAAAGCAACACCTTCCTTAAAGTACCATTTGCTACTCCTGAAGTGAACTCACCAGGAATCTCCAGTTCATTTCTCAAATATTCCACCTTGAAGTTGCTCATCCAGGGGGAATACTCGCGCAGATTCCCGGGCGGCTTCGACACTTCACTCATTTTTGAAAGAAGCGAGGTGGTGATATTGCCAAAGTCACTGAGCTTCATCGTAAGTAACTTTGAACCTCCTTTCCCAAAATGCTTATCAAATTCTTTGCCAAAGGTCTGAAATGAATAAATTTAAAAAAAGATTAATTATGTGGCTTCAACTTTGGAAAGGCTCAGCTCGAGGCTTAGGAATGTTTACCATAGTCCAGTGTCCTATGTGGTGCACTGAAGAATCCACCAGGGAGCTCTGGGGGTGGAGTCCATAGGAAGCTGCACTGCTAGCCCAGCTTCATGCATAAAGTCTACCAGCGGATAGCTTTCTGGGGAGAAAATGGGTACTATCCCTCTATGGCATTCCCAGCCTCAAAAACAGACAGAAGTTGCTGTGAGTTGAAACAGACTTGATGGCAGTGGATTTCAGTGAGTTTGGGGCCTTTAAAACTTGATCTTATTTTCTCTACTATTTCATTACTCTAAAACTTTATAAACTATGTGTGTTTCTTTGTGTTCCTTTGAAAAGATAAAAAGGATATGGTTAGGATTTACTTGCAGTCATAAATTCTAACAAGGGCTTTAAAAACTCAGTTAAGTATTTCAGAAAGTAATTTAATCTCTCTGTGCCAACTGCCAAGTTAGTGATCTAGCTAATTATGATGACATGAGTAAAACTGTAAAAAGTTCATCCAGAATAAAGGGAGTAATTAAGTCATAATGAACAGTCAGTCTGTAATTCTTTATTAGAGCTGAAGAGACAAAGAACGCTACTTTTTCAGTAAGGATTTTTTTTCCCTTCAAACCATTATTGTTGATCATAAATCAATATAAACATAATATAGATAATTTATATTTCTAAGAGCAACTCTTAATAGGCATGTTGTTTGTTGTTAAGTGCCATCAAGTCACAGACAACTCATAGCGAACCTATGAACAAAAGACCTGAACACAGGTATAACTTTTATCGTTTCTCCAAGTTCACAGTTTTCAGAGGCAAGCTCTTTCAGAAGTGGATGCTATTCCTGCTTCCAAGCTTGTTTTAATCAGGAAGCGCCACCAAACGCTGTCCACCATGGGTAACCATTATTGCATTTGACACATCAGTATCACAGTGTTTAGCAGCACAGCAACGATGAGTTACGTCTGTACAGAAAATGGACAGACCAGGGGTATAGCACTTAGAAGAATGATTGAAAAAAACAATTAAAACCAGGCTTGAGGGCTGCAGATTAAAATCACCCACCTTTGGCTTGGTAGCATCACTTTCTATCCACTAGGTCAACAGAGCTCTCTCGTTGTTGTTAAATGCCATCAAGTTGTAGATGACTCATAGCAAACCTATGAATGAAAGACCTGGACAGTTGCATAACTTCCATCGTTTCTCTAAGTTCGTAGAGTTTCTGGAGGCAAGCTATTTCAGAAGTGGATGCCACTCCTGCTTCCAAAAAGATTTAAACATATTTGCTATTAGATGAAAATTTCTGGACCTATTTTCCAAGATATAACAACTGGCATTTGAAAATAGCATCATTCCTTGCTCAAACACTGCACTGCTTCTGCCGACCTTCTGCAGACTCTGGTCCAGATGGGTTCCACGGCAGCCATGAAACATGTGGGCCATACAAGACAGTTCACTCACACCAATGGTTTCAGGCCCGCTTTATGTCATTGTTGTTGTTAGGTGCATTCCAGTCACATATCACTCACAATGACCCTATGAACAACAGATATGAACCCTGTCCAAGCCTGTGCCACCTTCATCCTCTCTGACACACTTGAGCCCATTGCCACACTGTGTCAATCCACCTCACTGAAGGTCTCTCTCTCTAGTTGACCCAGCACCGTTCCAAGCAACATGTTCAACTCCAAGAAATAGCCTATCCTAACAACATACGCAGTTGTTTTTTTTATTGAAAGAAGATGGAAAGAATATACTGAGTCACTGTATCGAAAGGAATTGGCAGACACTGAAGAATTTAATGAAGCAACACATGAGCAAGAGCCTATGGTTATGAAGGAAGATGTTCAAGCTGCTTTGAAGGAAATAGCAAAAACTAAGGTCCCAAGAATAGATGGTGTACCAACTGACATATTTCAGCTAACAGATGCTGCCCTGGACATACTCACCAAGTTATGCCAAGAAATCTGGAGAACAACCACGTGGCCAACTGACTGGAAGAGATCTATATTTGTTCCCATTCCAAAGAAGGGTGATTCAAAAGAGTGTGGAAACTAACAATCTCATTGATATCACATGCAAGCAAGAGTCTACTAAAGATTAT